GCTGAGCACCAAATAGTGTTTATATATTTTTTCATTTACAAGCAAGATGGTTATGAGATGCTACCAAGTAGGCCAGGCAGAAACAGGTTCACTAAATCCAAATCAAAGGAGTTCTCAAAATCTGAGGTGTGAGGATCAGGTGAATAAATCTGACCATGAAACCTAATTGTAAGAGAGGGCCAAAGAGAGCTCAACTGTTTCATAGCTAACCTGAAAAATTTCAGTCAGTAAGTTTGGGTAGAGTGCTCTCTGACACATGCAGGTAGAACCAGAGAAGCAGAACACTGAAAAGGCCAAGGACATAGCCTGACTGAAATGGCAAACCTAAGTAGTATTGGAACAGGTGGAAACTGCATTTTAACTGAATTCTGCATGCTTTACATTTTGGTTAATGGGGAATCCTGGGGTAATGATGCACCCTAAAATTATGAACCATACAGAAAAAGCAAAGCACATTTGGGTGTTAATGTAAATCCAGCCTGAGTCTGACATGCTCAAGATAAGATAAGGTTACCAAGGTAACCAGGTCACAGCTAGCAGGCTTTTTAACATGTCAGTGTAGGAACATGCTGCCTGCAGAACTGCAAGTTAAAGTGGGTGAGTGTTGAGCCCAAGAGCCCAAAACTCCATGCATAGGCTATCAGCATTCCATCTGCAATCCTGTGACAGTGCAACACTTGGCTGCCAATCTATCCCCTCTGCTACTGACTGCAGAATGGGAATAGTGGCTGGGGAACAACAAACTGCTCAGGCAGATCCACTGTCTTGGCTGGTCTTCTATGAGGCAGCAAACTTAGATTTCCATACTTTTCAAGAGAGGTTATCTGGGTCTTGTAGTTGGAGGGGTTAGGGGAAATGCCATCAGAAACAGAGAGATGACCATAAACAGTTTTTGCAGAAGTGGAATACAGTGACTGCCATGCAATCAGTCTATGTGCAAAAGCAGGCAAAAGGCAGAGGATAATGTGGAAATGTGAATGATCTTCTTGGCTTTGTGAAGATATAGAAGATATCCAGATGAATTTGAGTGGAACAGCACTGTTCAGGACACAGATCCTGTCATCCAGGATACTGAACAAAGGGAGATCAGATGTTTACCCTGGAGGATTGGCACTGCATTTCTGGAACAGGAGTCTGAAGGATGTGGCCACAGAATCAAGCCAGTTGGACTTCAAGAAGTGTTTGAACTACACTCTAAGAAATATGGTTTAATTTTTGAGTGATCCTGTGTGGAGCCAGGAGTTGGACTTGATTCTTGTCAATCCATTCCAAGTTGGATATTCTATGATTTTATCCAATCACCAGCCTCTGTTCTTCTCTCTCTGTATTACACTGCCAGACAGCCTCCTCCAGCCCTTTATCGCTTCATTGTTGTTTCAGATAACTGATTTTCTCTGAGTGTCAGCACAAGAATTGCTACAGGGAAAAGCTGCAGGAATAACATAAATGTCAATGGCACAACTACAGGCAGTGCAATTGCTTTTCCAACTGAAAGGGCCCGTGCACTGAGCTTCAAGGACAGAAGGAGGTATGAGGAAGCAATGGCGTCTGGTTGGGAATCGATGGACGGTTTTTCTTCTAGTTCTGGTCTCAGTCAGGCACCAGTATTGCTCTGCTGCAGGAAGCAATGGATGGATTACAGCAAATGTCTGATCTTTGATCAGCTGCAGAAACATTTAGAGCTGCTGACCTGTGAAAAACAGGCTCAGATCTCTTCCGTTTCTCCATTTTAACTCACAAAAAACATTCTGTCCACCGATGCCAAGAATCATCCTTGAAGTCTTGTAACTGACTGCATTGACCAATAAACAGTTAATTACTGTTAATTACTGTGTCACATCACAGCATTATGAGGCCTCTCAGGCTTGGAGACATATCTCAAAACGTAGAGATTATCTTAGCTTCTATCCATGTCTTTGAGTAATCAAACATCACTGACAGCCTGCATATGTCTCTGAGCACGAGCACAGAGACATCCAACTGTTGTCTCTATCCTACATCTGTGGGAGAAAATGGAGTTAAACAGGGTCTCACCATTTGGATGAACTTGTTGCATATCACCTTCTTGTCACCCCTGCAGAAAAAGACAAAAATGACTACTGGTGAAGCTGGTAAAACTGCATATTCTAGTTACCCCACCCTTTATATTTGACCTATTTTAATATTGCTGAACACATGTTGCTTAAGTTCTGAATGCTGATGTTCTACCAAAAGCCAATTTTAAGCAGAAAATTTCCAGGAAAAAAAAAAAAAAAAGTTTATGTATTTTGCAAGACTAAGGTGAGGGGAGAATGTGGCAATTCTCTGAGCTTCCAAAACTTTGGTGATGTGCCTTTCTCATCAGTGCTAGCACTACGCACAACAGCAAACAAGTGTGAGGTGAGGCAGGTGTGTGTCTCCATTCCACACCTATCAAACAGGAGACAGCAGTGTCAGCTTTACAACTACAGCTCCACAGAAGTTGGCAAATGCTTCCACCAGGTTCCACTGTGTTCAATCAAACCCTATCTGCTGCTCACCATGGAAAGATCTGAGTGAATGACTGCAGATTAGATGATCTGTATCATGTTCTATACTGATGACCAGGCTCGGATGAGAACCCACACCAATACCCAGAAAGTGTGCTGCATGGAGAGCATCACTCTCTTCACACAGAATTGTAGAGGTTGGAAGGGACCTCTGGAGACTGTTTAGTCTAACTTCTTTTAAACAAATTTTCCTACAGTGGTTGCACAGGAACAGGTGCACCCATTCAGATGGGTTGTGAATATCTCCAGAGGAGACTCCACAACCTCTCTGGGCAGCCTGTTCCAGTGCTCTGTCACCCTCACAGTAAAGTTCTTCCTCATGTTAGTATGGAAATTCCTGTGTTCCCACATCTGCCTGTTGCCCCTTGTTCAGTTGCTGCACACCTGGCCTCATTCACTTGAATCTGGCACTTCAGATATTTATAAACAACGATGAGATCTTCTCTGTCTTCTCTTTTCCAGGCTGAAGAGTCCCAGGGCTCCCAGCCTTTCCTCATACAGGAGATGCTCCAGGATCTGACCATCTTCGTGGCCCTCCACTGGACTCCCTCTAGGAGATCCCTGTCTTTTTTGAGCTGGGGAGCCCAGAAGTGGACACAGTGCTCCAGATGTTGCCTCACCAGGGCACAGCGAAGGGAGAAGATCACCTCCCTCACCCTGCTGGCCATGCACTCTGCAGCACATCTCAAGGTACCATTGGCCCACTGGCCTTCTTGGCCACAGGAGCACACCGCTGGCTCATGGCCAACTTGTGGTCAACTGTTGGTCAACCAGGACACTACTGACCTTCTCAGACCAGGCCTTCCCACACCGGGACCCCTAAGTCCTCCGTGTGGGTGCAGCACTGGACACTGCCACCAGACTCACCACTCCTCTCCAATCCTGTAGACGTAGACAATGTTGTCTGTTTGGCCAATGGCGATTTTGGTGGAGTCCGGGGAGAACGCCATGCCTTTCACCACGTAGCTCTTCCTGCCGTACTGTGGGCAGAGGGCAGACTGAGCCCGAGAGGAAGGCCACCACGTCCCATCCACACAGCCCACAGCCACGGGCAACAGCCCGGGCTCGGTACCCTCACCTTGGCATCGGCAGGCTTGGTGGAGAACTTGTCACGCCGCTCACCGTGCTCGTCGTACAGCAGCACCACACGCTCCGCGGTGCACACGGCGAAGCGGCCGCTGTTGGCCGACCAGGCCATGCAGGTCACACGCGCGGTGCCGTCCTGCGGGACACACACAGCTTCAGCGCCAACACAGCTCGGATGCTCCCCTGCTCCCCCCGACCCGAAACGACCCGACTGGACCTGCGGGGCCAGCAGGGTCCGCACGTGCCGCAGCTGCATGATGAGGGACTGAGAGCGATAGCAGCACCGGATCGCACCGCCGCCGTACCCCGCTACAACCCACACCCGTTGCCTAGCAACCGCTGAGCCGGCACCACTGATGACGTCATCAACACGCGTGTCTGTACTACACAACGCCCCGCCCCCTTCCTGTTTCGGCATCTCCACTTCCGGTCCCGCCCCGTCCCAGTTCCGGCAGTTCTCAGCCTCGGCGGGGCCATGGAGGCGCTGCGGGCGGCGGGTCGCGCTGTGCTGCGGAGTCCGCGTCTCGCCCGGCACGGCCTGGGGCTCTGCCGGCGGCGCAGTGAGTGCGGGCAGGGAGCGGAGGGGAACCGAGGGTCGGTACAGGGCCGTGAGGCGGGAAGCATTGGTCTGGGCCCGGCTGGCCCTGGGACAAAATGAGGTCCTTGGGCCCGGAGCCGGGCTGTGGCTGGGGGTGGGTGGCGGCCTCTGTGGGGCTGAAGTGGTGCTTAGAGCTTGGAGCCAGGTCCTGGGTGCCCCGTCCCTGGAGGTGTTCAAGGCCAGGTTGGATGGGGCCCTGGGCAGCCTGGGCTGCTATGAAATGGGGAGGTTGGTGGCCATGCATGTGGCAGGGGGTTGGAACTTCATGATCCTTGAGGTCCCTTCCAACCCTGGCCATTCTGTGGCATGGCCCAGAGGAGGGCTCCCTGGTAGCTGCAGCCTTCTGTGCTATGCGGATGAGGTCGTCTGATTTCCCCGTGGATTCAGGATGCTTCAATTATGGGTCAGAGCTTTCTATAAGCGTAGCAGTAACGTTCTGGGAGTTAATCCCAGGAAAGAGGTGAAAAATAACCCTGAGAAGCATTATCTGAGTGTGAATGGCAGATGCATAGGTAATCCCCAGGGAGGGATTTCAATCTAGTGCTTCTAATGGTGTATAGAATTCAGAGAATCACAGAATGGCCTGTGTTAAAAAGGCCCACAGTGCTCATCCTGTTCCAACCCTGCTGTGTGCAGGTCACCAACCAGCAGCCCAGGCTGCCCAGAGCCACATCCAGCCTGGCCTTGAATGCCTGCAGGGATGGGGCATCCACAGCCTCCTTGGGCAACCTGTTCCAGTGCCTCACCACCCTCTGGGTGAGAAACTTCCTCCTAATATCTAACCTAAACCTCCCCTGTTTCAGTTTAAAATCATTCCCCCTTGTCCTATCACTATCCACCCTCATAAACAGCTGTTCCCCTTCGTGTTTATAAGCTCTAATTCTTTGGTCCTTGTCACTCCTCCTGTATGGGTGAATCCAGACCAACTGACTCCCAGTACTTTAACCCTTCTCATCCTATGCGACACAGGTGAGGCTGTACCTTGAGTGTTGTGTTCAGTTTTGGGCTCCTCGCTACAAGAAAGACATTGAGGCCCTGGAACACTTAGAGAGAATGGCAGTGAAACTGTGAGGGGTGTGGAGCACAAGCGTTATGGGGAGCAGCTGAGGTGAAGGCTCAAGAGAGATCTCGTGCTTCTCTGTGTCTGAAAAGATGTAATGAGGTGGGGATTGACTTCTTCTCCTAGGTAACTGCTGTATAACAAGAGGTGATCGCCTTGTGTTGTGCCAGGGGAGGTTCAGGTTGGGTGTTAGGAAACACTTCTTCTCAGAAAGAGCAGTGCTGCAGTAGCACAGCTGCCCAGGGAGGTGGAGGGCTCACCAAACCTGGAGGTGTTCCAGATGAGGGTAGATGTGGCAATGAGGGATGTGGTCAGTGGGCATGGTGGGGTGGGTTAGGTGAGTGGGCTAGATGGTCTTAGATGTCTTTTCCAGCCTCAGTGATTCTATGATGATTCTGCAATCTTCTCTGTCACCATCCTTCTGCTCTCTGAGATTTGAGGAGGTAAATGTGTACTCAATTCTGCTTCAGCTGTCCTTGAAAAACATCCCCAGAGGAAGTACTTGGTATGAAAGAAGTGTTCCTTTGTGCATGGCACTGATCTCCTAAGCAGTTTTTGATGAGACTGAGCTTTTTGTTGGCTTTATCTGGTAGGAGCAGAGCTTGTAATGGATGCTTTTACAGTGCTTGTTTTTTGTGTCCTCTCTTAGTAACAGTGGTGCAAGGGCTCCTTCTACCAGCACTTGCAGAATGTGAAGTAAATCAGTTTCTGAAGGAAGCTGAACATGCTGAGGGCCCTCTCTAGGGAATCTGAGGAGATTGAGGAGGTAATTGTCTACCTCTGCTCTCTTGAGACCCCACCAACAGTGCTGAGAACCCCAGCATAAGGAAGATGTGGACCTGTTGGGGTGGGTTCATAGAACACCATGGGGATGCTCAGGGGGCTGGAACACCTCCCTGTGAGAACAAGCTGAGAGAGCTGGGGTGTTCAGCCTGGAGAAGAGAAGGCTTGAGGTAGACCTCTTTGTTGCCTTTCTGTACCTGGAGGCCTACGGGACAGCTGAGGAGGGACTCTTTTAGTGAAGCACTGGCACAGGTTGCCCACAGAGGTAGTGGAAGTCCCTGCAGACACCCAAGGTCAGGTTGGATGGGGCTCTGAGCACCTGGTGTCCCTGTTCAGTGCAGAGAGTTGGGCTAGATAACCTTAAAAGGTCCCTTCAAGCTCAAACAGTTCTATGATCCTTTGTCAGAGGATGCAGTGACAGGGGGTGACAGCCTTAAACTAAAAAGGGAGACTTAGATTAGACAATAGGAAGAAATTCCTCACTAACGAGAGTAGTGTTTGAACAGATGCTCTTTGTCCTTTATTTTTTTTAATAGACTTAATATATAGATAGATATATAAATAGATTTAGTAGTAATGCACATGGAGTTCTCTTCCCTCTGCTCGTTGGAATTCATCCATAAAGCACATTCTTCTGGAAGCTAACTTGCACTCTTTAAATGCCAGTCTGAGCTGTTCTGTAACACAAAGCCTGTAGGATGATTGCTTCCCAGTCACCTCTGCTTCAGCTGTGAGTGCTGGCCATTCTGCCCCTTTCCTGGCTGCCTGCTGCTGCAGATAACAGCAGGTAATAGTTTGGCTTTGCTTGCAATGAGGCAGCTTGCGGATTTTGATCGGAGTGGGGCAGCAAATACTGCTGTTCTTGTGGTGTGGCAGCACCTGAAGTGGATGAGGTGAATGCAGTACATAGCACGCGCTGCTTGCAGTGAAGGAGCTCAGGCCTGGAAATGTTAGGTTCTGATGGATAGCACTGAACACTGCAGATCTGAGGCCCTGTGAAGATACACAGGAGCTTACTGTCTTGGCTGGCAGAGCTTCTACCTCCAGGGCTAAGGGCTTCGAGGTTGAACTCTCCTTTCATTGTGTTCTTCCAAAGTTGTCACAGAACCAGGAGAGTGCTGTGGTGAGTGCATGTAGCAGCACTGCTGCTGGGAGCACTGAAGCTGCAGTGAGGTGAGGTGGCTCTGCTGGGACTAGCCACAGGGCAGCTGGTACATGGCTTCTGCTGCTAAATCATTTTGTCTTCACAGAGCTTCCCGAGAGCTGGGCTGACATGCAGGAACCGCTGCTGGAGGGGATGTGCTTCACTCTGAAGTATCTAGGCATGACACTGGTAGAGAAACCCAAAGGGGAGGACATGGCAGCTGCTGCCATCCGCCGGATCGTCGCCACGGTGAGAGCCAGCTCTGTGCTGGGGTAGAGAAGAGCCAGTTTGGAGCTGGCAAGTAGACTTGGGAGGCATCGACATGACAGTCCTTAGCTCTACCTAGGGACTGTGCTGTTCCCAAGAGGAGGGTGGCTTGCAAGTGACAGGCTGATCTCTACCTCTGGAGGAAGCTGTTTTTCTGCAGGACAGCCACTGTTGCTTGCTTCCACACAGCTGGGAGCAGAACTTTGTCCCTCTCCTCACAGAGAGGAGGGGGAGAACTGGGGAGGGTGGGGTCCATCCTTTCATGGCACTAGCATGAAGGGACTCCTGGGGTGTCCTACATAGGATGTGCCTATTCTCCAGGCTCTTGCTTTCCTGTCCCTTTAGCAGGAACCTCTGCAGCATGAGTCCAAGTCAGTGACGTTCTGTACAGAATCTGGGGGGTGGCTGGCAGCAGGGTGGGGTTGAGGACCCTCGATGGCTCTTCAAAGATGTCTGGTGTGTCTCCACTGCCAGGCACGGGTGGGAGCTCGCAAGTTCCAGAAGGTGATTCTGACAGTGTCTCCAAGGGGCATCTCACTGCAGGACGCCGACACGAAGGAGATGGTTGAGAACATCTCCATCTACAGGTGGGCACAGCATGCAGGAGGACCTGGGTAAGGGAGGTGATCCTAGATGATTCCATGATTCTGAGTGTTCCCGAGCAACCAGTGGGATCTTGAGCAGCAGGGGTGGGCTGGGCCTCGTGCTGGCCCCCACAGCACTGCCTGGGTCTGAATGCATGCAGGGACCTGGGCAACTCTGTGTTCTTTGTCAGTATCTGGCCTTTTCTGTGGACTCTGCTTGTCTCTTCTGCATCCTGTGTTCAGCAGATTGGGGCTGATGGATAGAAGCAACTAGGGCAAGACTGCATGCCTACCTTTTTTTGCTGATGAAGGACCACCCTTCTGCCTTCTGGCTGCAAGTGGCCTCATTGTGCCTTGGCCTGCAGCTCACTTGAGCTGACTAAAGACAGTTTAAAGAGCTGTTTTCCTGTTTGTTTGTTCCCTCCTTACTGCTGCCAGTTGTACTTCAGCTGTGTATTTGTGGGAAAGGAGCACGGCTGAATGCTGGTTGCTAGATGAGAAGCAGAGTCAGGATGTGTCCTTGGTACAAAAGTTGGGACTCAGCACAAGAGCTGATACACCAAAGCAGAGCATCCTACTGCCTGGCCTCCAGGTGTGCTCTTGCTTTTCTATGCACCTTTTGGTTCAATGCTTGAGTTCACACCTGGGCTTGAATAAGGCATCGGAAGACCAAAGAGCACACTGAGCAGCACAAGTTGGGGATACCTGTGGATGTAGTGATCTCTTACTAGCTCTGGAGAGCTGGGCTGCTGGTTATCCAGGGCAGGTGAAAGTCTCGGGCTGTCTCTCCTGTTTGTTGGTGTGCTGAGAGCACAGCAGACCTGTGCTGGGTTTCCCTGTTGCTCTGAGCAGCTCCTCTCTGCCCATAGGATCTCCTACTGCACAACAGACAAGCTGCAGAACAAAGTCTTTGCTTATGTTGCTCAGAGCCAGGAGAGCGGGGCGCTGGAGTGCCATGCCTTCCTGTCACCCAAGAAGAAGATTGTAAGCACTTCTCTTTGGCTCTTGGCTCTTTGAGGTAAGGGTGGGTATGTAGCCCTTTCTTCTTCCCCTTCAGGGAAAGCAGACCCTTACTTCTGTGCCCCTAGCTAGAAACAGAGCCAGGGAATGCACGTTTCCTCACATAGTATAGAGGTGGATGGTGAGCAACAGGAGGTTCTTCTGTCCCAGTTCCTCTGGGATCTCTTCTTGGGAAGGGTTGGCCCATATGAACAGACTGGCAGAGCACTGAGCCTTGGCCTTCCACACGAACTTTGCACAGGAGATGTGACAAGGGAGGCCTGGAGCACCTTTGTTCTTGGGCAGCACTATTGCTATGGCTTGGGGTGGAGATGGAAGTAGACATTTCCCCTCTTTTTTGCACACAGGCCCAGGCCGTGACTCTGACGGTGGCCCAGGCCTTCCAAATGGCACTGGATCTCTGGGAAGCAGCAAATGCAGGTAGGAGGAATTTCTCTGACATTTCCCTGTGCGTAGTCCTGGAATTGGGGTCTACATTGCCAGATCCTGTTTTGGGCTGTATGGAGGAGAGGTGGCTTGCTGCTTGGGTGGTGAAATGCACCAACCAGGGCACTGTCCTTGCTGTTGTGCTCTCTGCTGCTTCCCCATGCGGGGACCGTGCCCTGTCTCTGGCTGGGGGTGTCCCTGCTATCCATGCTCAACTCCTCTGCACTGCTGAGCTATTGCACAGCTCAGGGCCCTGTGGGACCTGCCCTGAGCAATGTCCCCCTCACCCTGCTCCCATGTTTGTTTGCACTGTCCCCCGAGCACAGCAGGGGCATCTGTCTCTTGCCCACAGTCCTGCCTGTTCACCCCCTGCTGAGCCTTGTTCAAGTTCCAGGCGCTAACTCTGCTGCTTTTGCCCTGTCCCAGGCTCTAGGCAGGAACAGCCCCTTCACCCTCCATGTGTCTTGGAGCGCAGTGAGCCCAGCAGAGCAAGTGAGCCAGCTCCCCCGGGGAGCCCTCCCTTCAGACACCAGTTTGGGGTACAGTATGTGCAAGTCTGGCCCGTGCCCAGGTCTGTCACACATTAGGGCAGGAGAAGAGTAACCCTTATGCAGCTCCCTCCTCCTGGTCTCTCAGGCTCCTGTTGGTGTCTGCACAGCCCCCCTTGTACGTGCGGGCCTGATGTGACAAGGAGCAGTCTGTGCTATGTCTGGCTCACAAGGCAGGAGTCTCAGGTGATCTTTGCTCTGGGAGCTCTGCTGTCAGGCCCAGCATTGCAGCAGCCAGCCCTGTTGCACAGGGAGCTGGGACCTGCTCTGCGTACTTGGTGCCATGGTTTGGGGTGAGACAGCCTCTCTCAAGGAGAGGAACCTTTGCCTGGTCATCATCTTGCCAGCCTGGGATAAGGCTCAGCCCTGCCCATCTGCACAGCACCCACTGAATGTCCAGAGCCAGTCACAGCATTTCTAGTGTTGCAAGTCTCTGTTGTCATTGTGTCCCTGCCCAGGAGCCTCTGAATGCTTGCTTCTTGACTTCGTGCTTCCAGCATTGGCCCAGTCTGGCAGTGGTTGGGGCCATCGTTGCTTGCAGCGTGCTCCAGGTGGTTCTCTGCCTGGTCCTCCAGCTGGGACACGCTCACCCTGCTCCAGTCTCTAGGCAAAGGTGTGCTGTGTGCAGCAGCCATCTCAGCTTGGTGGCTCATCCCCAGTTCACGCCCTGTGTTTGGTGCTCTGCTGGCTTGGGGAATGTGAGGAGAACCTTGGTCTGTCTCTTCCCTTGTGTGGCTGTGTCTGAGCTCCAAGGATTTCATCAGCCCAGTACTGCAGGTGCCATTTTTCCCCTTCCTGCTTGTAGACGAGTCTTGTCCTTGTCATGCCTGGTGGGTGACTGTCTTGTGAAGGTGCTGGGGACAGCCCTGCTGCCCCAGAAGAGGCTCTGGGCATCCCAGTCTGGATCCTGGTAGAGACCTACTTTTCTGTTTGTTTGCTTGCTTGCTTGCAAGGAGGAGGAAGAGGAGGAGGAAGATGAAAACCTTGATGAAACTTTATCTGGGTAAGTGGTGAGCTGGTGCCTGTGTGTAAGGAGCACTCTCGTGAGCCCTGTCTTGATTCCTTCTCCATGTCCCAAGCAAGGGGTACTGCTGAAGCCATGAGTTTTGTGGGAGCTAGGATGAAATCTGTGGGGAAACTTCTGCTGTTTTCTCTGTCTCTGTCAGCTGAGGTTGGATGTACAGGAAGCTAAGGTATGGAGAGACAGATTTTGCAGTTCAACTCTTGCAGTGCGGGGTTGAAACTTACCCTGAGGACATGAGTACAAGAGAAATCACTGGGTGTGTTTCTGCCACTCTTTGCTGAGGACAGCCTATCCAGATGTGCTTCCCATGTTGAGCCCAGAGCTGGCCCTTTCCTTCCCCTGATTTCTGTGGGCATAGGCCAGGTTGGATGCTCACTCACGCTGATGGTGTGGACTAGGAGCTGGGACTGAGCTTGGGGGGAGGTCAGAAGTGGAGGATTAACCCATAGGTCTTTGCAGAAGTGCCTGTGGTGATGGGTTTGCTGAGCCTGTTCCATTATGGCTGTTCTCATGCACCTGTTAAGCCGGTGCCTGAGGGGTCCAGCAATGTCAGCAGGCTGAGAGTGCTCTAAGTAGGTGTCACCTGGGGATCAACGTGTGCAAAGTGTGAAGGTGTGTATGTGTCCTTTTGATGTGGCCACTTGTTCCTGGGCGATTCTTGATGGGAAGAGACGTGGCTTTGCAGCATCAGGGCAGGATGGCCTGGGGAAGGGGTTTGGTAGCAAGTAGGTTAGGGCCTTCTGCAGTCTGAGTGCCTAGTACTGCTGGGTCTGCACTGCCAGGGTCATGAGTGTGGGTCTCTCAGCAGGTGCTTGCTTGGAGATGATGGGTGCTCTGTTCTCTTCCAAAGCTGCATGGAGGAGCTGGGGAGGGGAGCCCATGGACCAACAGGTAAGCTCTCCCTCCATATTGCTTTTCTACCTCCCGCAGCGTGGTCTCGGCAGAGGGAGGAGGTTGATGGCTCTCTTGGGAAGGTCTGCTTCCCCTTCCTGTCCGTATTGGGTTCCAGCCACAAATGTTATGGACCAGATCTCCCTCCCTTTTGCTTTTCAGAGTTGGCACCTCCTGTGCCCAGAACGAGCTCATCTGCTGCACAGCTGCCGCTGAGCTGGCCCCGCCTGGGGCAGCCCCCAGGCAGCCGGAAGGAGCCAGGAGGAGCTGGAGACCCCCCCACTGCTGGCCCTGGGACTGATTGCTCCAAGAACCCCCTGAGCTAAGCCACGTCTCTGCAGCAACTGAGCAGCCACTCAGGATTCACCCTGTGCCTGCACCCGGGCCACTCAGCAGCTGCCCTGCTCCCAGGCACAGGGGATGTTGGCACCGCTGCTGTGCAGCGCGTGGACTGTAATGCCCATTCCTTGTCCTGCTGCCCACCTGCATGAACTGCCTCAAACTGCAGTTGCTCCCTACTCCCCTTTAAGCCTGATGGACTGGTGTTCATTGCTCTGCCTGCTGCTGGTGCAGGTACGTGTAGGTGGTGCACCTAGGGCTGTGCTGATCTGACTTTGCTCCTTGTAGTGGCAACAGGGAGCAGCTGAGGCCGAGCAGCTCGCTGGGCACAGGGCTTGCTCAGCAAATTGAAGGTGCATATGACCCTTGGGAAGCCATAGCTCTTGGCCTGGAGGGGCCTCGCCCCAGCAGTTCAGCCCTGCACCCTCCCACGAGTGAAGTGAGCTGTTTTTGAAAGGAAAGCTCTGCATTTGTAGGGAAATAAACTGAGGGTTGACTTTGTTTTTATTTTTTTTATAGTTGTCCATTTGCTTTTAAGTGCCCAGCAGGGGCCTTGTGCAAGTGTGTGAAGTGCTGTGTCCACTGTGCTACCTGCAGGAAGGCATAGCTGGTGCTGTGCCCCTTGGGGGCTCTATGTGCACCAGCAAATGTTTGCACAGCAGGAGCTGACAGTGGACCCTGCAGAGGCCAGAGATGGCACAATGTCCCATGTGTCAGCAGCTCTCTACCCATTTCAACCTTATCACTGCTCTGCTGCTGCTGTCCTTCTGCACTTGGTCTCTGGTGTGGAGACATGGCCAGCAGGCTGCCTGGTTTCTCCAGCCAGGTTTGCAGCTGATTGCTGTTCTTGCTGTGAATTATTCTGCTTCACCATCTCCTGCCACTGGGGAAGGCAGTGGGCTGTACCTGTTGCCTGGGAGCTGTCAGACTCCAGGCAGTGTAAGTGCCTCCGTCTCCCTGAGACATGAGGTTGCTGCAGTGTGCCTCTGCTGATGCTGCAGCCCCGTGTGACTTCTTGCAGGACTTGGTGGGTGTCAGGTCTGCAGCTAATCCTGGGTTTTACCAGCTGCTGCAGTGAGTATCTTCCAGCTCTTTGTGTCAGCCTAGAACAGTTGCTGTGCCTGCTATGTATAACATGAGAGACACTGTGTTCCTTTTTTATTTGGCCACAGCTTTTGTATTCTGCTCTCTTCACCTGATGGGGAGAAGCACAGCCTCCTGCCAGCAGCCTGCTGAGCCCTGGCATCATCTTCCTTCAGCAGCTGCATGTCATACAGCATGACAGGCCAGCCTGCAGTGCTGGTACTCTCTCAAAGGCCAGAAAGAAGTGCAGGATAGCCTTTGGGGACCTGCTGCAGAGCACGTGCTATCAAGAACAGGGCCATACACAGGAGTGCAAGAAGCAATTAGACGTGTGCCCCTCTTTTCCCCCCCACACCTGCAATACTGCATTGACAACGCTGCTTTTGAGCCAGGATGCTTTTATTGAAAAGACCCCGCCACAGGGAGTTGCTTACCCTGTCCCTTCCCAATCCAGTCCTGCAGCAGGAGCTGAACAGCACCTGGAAGTGAGTCCTGAAAGTGCTTTGCTGGGAGGTTTATTCCTGGAAGACGCTGGATCCTGTGATGCTTGAGTCCAGGGCTGCAGAGCCAGCGCCTGGCTCTGTGACCAGCCACAGAGCAGAGCACGGAGGGAAGAGCAGCAGCCAGGGCACCAGGCACGGCCTCTGTGGCAGTGGGACTCCTTGTGTCACCCTGCATCCCCTGCCTCTGGCACGAGAACATCGCTGGCCCAGACCTCATCCTCGGACACAACACGCATCCCACCAATCCAGCCAGGCTGGCTGCATTATGCACGCAGTGCACACTCACAGTGAGCCCTGACAGAGAAGTGGTAGAGCCACAGCAGTGTGCTGGCCAGACCCATTCCCATTGCTCTGTGAGCCTCGCCTCACCCACGGCACTGACACTCCCTGCCCTGCTGCAGCCCAGCCAGGCACTGCAGCAGCACTAACTCCTCAAGCTCTCATTTGTGTTTTTGTCCCCTGTGCCAGGGCGAGGCGTGGGAAGCCCCTCACTGCAATGATGGGGTGCAGTGGGCCCCATCCTCCAGCAGGGACTTGCTCTCACAGCCCAGCCCCCTGCCTCCTTGCCTTGACCTCACTGGCAGCTCTGGGGCCAGCATCTGCACTGCGCCCTCCCCTCAGCCTTGGAGCCAGAAAGGTGCAAATCCTTCCCCCCCAGCACAGCAGAGAGAGCCAGGTCTGCCCCAGAACATCTCCTCGGCAGGAATCTGGTGCCACACAGCTGCACCACAGCCTCTGGCCAAGCCTGGGCTCTGGGATGCTGCCTCCCACCGGGGCTGTGTGCAGGACAGGGCAGCAGCCCCTCTGCTCCCCCACAGGCTGGTGGCATGCCCCCACTCCATCGCTCAGCTCCACACTCCTTAGCGGCAGGGAAGCGGGGCCAGGCATACATGCACGGCCGGGAGCCAACTCCATGCACATCCCCAGACAGGTGCCCTTGGGAAAGCGTAAGTTCGGATACGTGGATCTTCGCATGCAGAGTTCCAGGCTGGCTGCCTGGTGCTGCCTCCTCTTCCAAGGCCTGTTTTAGCTCTGACGTGATGCCCAGGAGCCCAGATGCAGAGCTGGTGCTGCACTTACACCTCGATTATATTGACAGAGGGAGATTTCTTCTATAAGAGAAAAAAAAACCACAATTTGAGGCTACGCTTTATGGAAGCCTTAGGATGGGAAATCTGGAGGAGGAAAGAGAACTTGGCCCTCAAAGTCCTGGAAACCAAGGAGACATAATCAGGCCAGTGGGCAACATGGGAATGGAGTTTGCACGATGAATAGAGACGGCAGATGAGACCCAAGGGAAAAAACTACTGCAACATCCCATCAGAGCAGGTTCTCTTTGTTGAGTAACAAAGAACAAGTCAGGTGCTGACCTCTCTGAGATGCAGAAGAGGCGTAGCCTCTGTGTTGGGTGGTGATGGGGCATGCACTGGCTGTGCAGCGAGAGGACAGCTACCATCCTGCAGTATGGGAGCCATCCCAGCAGAGTTGTCCTGCCATCACAGTGGGTGTTTCTCCTGCACTCACACATGGGGCACACAGACTGCCCCAGGGCTCACTGCTAGTCCTCGGCTTTTGGGGTGAGGACACAAACTGGGGTGTTTTCTATTTCTGGAGAGAGAGGAACCTGTCCAGCCACTAAGGCACAGCAGATGTTACATGCCAGCCCTTCTGTCAGCCCTCGCCCTCACCTTGCTCCGCAGCAGTCCTCCAGAGGGTCGCTCTGGAGTGCTGTGCTCCGAAGATGGCTTCGTCTTCTCCTTGTTGTTGTTGGAGTCGTTGTCCTTGATGATGTCATACTGTCTGCAGAAGAGGGCGATCACAGCTGCAGAAAGAGGAGGGATGAAGGACTCCCTCGGGGCTGCCCCCTTCTCCCCTCCCCATTGTCACAGCGGGAGAGCAGCCAGGCCCAGGGGTTGGGGTGATGGTTGGACTTGATGACCTTAGAGGTCTTTTCCAGCCTTAACGATTCTATGAAAATGGAGCCAGAAGCATCTAGAAGAACCAGTGCCAATGGTCTTGCAAGGAAGGAGGATGCCAGGACCATGCCACCATTCCTCTGCACTCTCTGAGCCCCATCCTCTCTGTGGACCCAAGACTGTGCCTCTGTCCCAGCCTGCTGGAATGCTATTAGTGGCACTCACCTGCCCACATGAGCAGCACGGCCACGATGATGATGATCTCTCCTGTCTGCAGTTGCCTGTCTTTATCCAGCCCTTCCATGGTGATGTCACCTGTGGAGAAGAGCAGCCGGCCAGGGCTGGCACTAATCACCCTCCCAGCAGAACCCACCTCATAACCAGCATCATTCAAGGATCTGAGGAGCTACAGAGAGAGGCCCACTTCCCCCTGACAAACAAATGTTGACTGGGAAGAAGGCATTGCAGCCTACGGCTTTCCATAAAGACCCATGCTGCACATCATCTCTCTTGGATTCACGGCCAGCATTTAGGCAAACCCAGGCAACAGGCACAGCGTGGCTGCGAAGTGGAAAGGAGACGGCCCCACGAGTGGCACTCGGGCAATGCCTCACCTTGGTTGGAGCTGTTGGAGGGGAGGCGGTCGGTCTCCTTCAGAGTCCGGAAGTGGACGCGCTTGCTGGCCTGACTTTCCCCATAGAGGCCGATGCTCTGCACCTGGATGATGTAGTCGGCATCTTCTGCCAGGTCCCACAGCACGCACGCCCGGTTGGTGGTGTTCACCTCCCGGATGAAGCGCTGCATCTGACCATCCTGCCGCTGCCAGAGTGAAGAGCTGTCATCCCCCAGGGAGTTGATCCCAGCTGCACCCTGCCTGCAGGGCTCTGCTGAGTGCAGTTGCCCTCACTCCTCCCTTCCCAGGCAATCCTCCACCCCTGGGGTGGGCCGGCACCTCGCTCCGCAGCATCTCTGTGCGGCCAGAGGGACCCCCGGGGACACGGCCTGGGTACCTGCTGTAGGATGGCATAGCCGATGACCACGTCTCCTTCTGGCACATCCCAAGAGACGGTGGCAGAATTCGCCTTCAGCTGTGTCACAGTCACATTGACGGGGGATGGCGGCCTGTCTGGGTGAGCAGGGGTGGATCGATGGGAGAGAAGCAAAAGATCTGTCAGAAAAGGCACTCGTCCCTCTCTTTCCCTCCAACCACGGGGGTTTTCTCCAGCATTCGCCCACTGCAGCTCAGATTTTCATCTATTGGAAAGTATCCTGCAGAGTCGCAGCAGGGCTGCCTGGCATGGCATGCTGCTGCTCAGCCCAGACACAGCAGCTTCTTGGTAGTAAAGTCCCACGCTTCTGTGGGGTTCTGAGTCCAAACAAGCCCTACATTAATGCAGCACTTCAACCACAACTGTGACGGTGAAACGAGGATCCTCCAATCTCTGGGGCTGCCCTGTGCATGTGCACATCATGAATGCCTGGCACACCACCCAGGGCTGCGTAGGAAGCAGCACAGACACAGTATTTATATATCAACTGTGACAGAAAAATGGGGCAGCTTGGAATAAACACACTATGGAGCTCTGCCTGGGCACCTCATCTGCCTGGCGCTGCTCCCTGCCCCAAACTGGGGAGGAAAGCCCAGTGCAGAGGGCAGAGCTGACTTTGACAGTGCAATGCCATCAGCTGAAAAGCCGACAGCAACACTGAGCCACTGCCATCCTTTGGATTGGCCCACGGGCTGCACCACTGCTGCTGTTTTGTCATTTCAGCCCCTGGAACTACTGAGGTCTGAACTGGACAGCACATGCCCAAACTCTTCACACAGCTCAGGATTCAGCACGAGCCATGGGCCATTCCCAGCACATAGCCCTGATGTGCTCTACGCTCTTTGGAACATGTGAGCTCAGTGCTAAGGATGTGGCCACATCCTGCTGCCATTTGGCCTCAGGCCGAGAACAAGACCTGATGCTTCATCACAATAATAAATTAGGTGGACTTTTAC